TCATACTGTGCCGGAACAACATGGGGGTATCTGCTGCTCTTTCTTTCCTCATCATCACTACCGTCATTTTTCCTCTATTTCTTTTGTATGTTTGTCACTCTCTTGTGAACTGCTATTTCTGAAGTGTCTTGATAGTCGAAGCAGACTTTGTGCTGTTGAGGCAAGAGAGGTGAGCAGAGTAAGCCTGATTCCCCGTTTGGACTTCTCTGTATAATCCACCCCCTGGCACTCACATGACCTTAATAATTGCGAGCGCCGTAAAACCTTACTAAAACTTTTAAAAGGACATGGATGTTGCAGACCTACCACTGCCAAAAACTTCGATAAAATCGGAGCTGTCCGACATTTTAAGAAATTGCCAGCCGAAGAACCCTGATGGGATTTGCGTAAAATTCGATTTTTTTCTCCTTGAACTCCGTTTCCCTCATGGCGTATGCGACTCATCGTAAATAACGTGGAATTGTGTCTGTTTTATTTGCAATCATTTGCTTTTATTGGCAATATTTGCGCGATTTATTGTCAATGACATGAAAAGACAAATTTTTATTTACTTGTATTTGCAATGCACATTGACGTGCCGCAATCAAATGTTATCATGTACTCATGATCTAATGGAGTTCGAGAGACTTCCATTTTTCTCCCAAACTCCCTATTTGGGGAGGAGAATTTTGAAAGGAGTGCCCACTTTTTGGTCTTGGGGGAGGGGTTGGCAGATCTGATGGGTAACCTCATCTGCCTTCCTTTTTTGAGGTGTTCTTCATGGTCCTCTTAGATTGAATGCAGACCCGACTATGACGTCATCTTTACTTTTGTTTCGTTCCTTTCCCCTCTTTAAAGATCATCTGACTACTCTTGACTAGGGCAGACTATTAGTTCATTAGACATAATCCAGGGCTGTGGTACGGGCAACCTGGTTCGATCCTATGCAGGCAGTTTTTGAGCTTCAGCTAATTAATTGAGAGTTATTTTCGTAGCTCTATCCTATATGTGTCTGTGTTGAAAAGGGAGTTTTAAAAAGGGGGGTGGGGTGGGGTGGGAGGGCAGGGCAATTTGTCTATTTGTCCGCAAGACTGGGATCATCGCTGACGATACGTATGTTAATACCTGCCCCCCCCCCCACACACACACACACTCACACACATCTCCTCCTACTCCTTTCTCGTTAGGATCCAGCTCAAAGTTCAAAGTCCACCCCGCTTATAAAGCAATAATTCAGACTTGCAAGTGGTCCTTTAGCAAGGGAATGCTCAACTTAAATTAGGCCCTTAAGGAAAGTTATTATTATACCGTGGTTCATCTTCAACTAGTCAAATTTAGAAAACGAGAATACAGTGATGTTCATTGAAACGGGGGCAAGCATATATCTCCTCCCTCCCCCACCCCTGGTCTCTCTCTCTCTCTCTCTCTCTCTCTCTCTCTCTCTCTCTCTTTCTCTCTCTCTGTCTCTCTGTCTCTCTGTCTCTCTATATCTTTGTCTCTCTGTCTCTCTGTCTCTGCCTGTCTGCCTGTCTGTCTGTCTGTCTGTCTGTCTGTCTGTCTATCTGTCTATCTCTCCCTCCCACACACACGAAGATACAAAAACACGCATACAAATACATATAGAGTCCGAAAGCAAAGAACAAACTATCTTTTAATTAATTTTTTTAAAGCCGCTTCCTTCTAAATCTAAAACTGATTTTGTTGAAGGACAGAAAATATCATTTAAGAGACATAACAATAGTAATAATATGTTTGCTTCGAAATGATTCCAAGTACCTGCAAAAGACAACCTAATCTCCCCTCCCCTGTCATCCTCCCACCCTCCCCTTCCATCCCCCTTCTCATCCCCTTCCCTCCTACTCCCCCTCCGTTCTCATCCCCTCCCCTCTCATCCCCTCCCTTCCATCCCCTCCCTTCCCCTCTCCTGCCATCCCCACTCCCCTCTCATCCCACCTCTCATTTCCCCCTCCCCTCTCATCGCCGTCTCATCCCCTCCCCTTCACTCCCCATCCCCTCCTCTCCCTCTCCTCCTCCCCTCCCTCTCCTCCTCCCCTCTCATCCTCCCCTCCCCTCCCCTCCCCTCTGAGTGGTGATCCAGACTGTCTGGAGCAAGAGTTGAATCACCCGCACGTCACACGACAATCCACCAACCCGCACTTAAAATCGCCGACATGTAGAAGACGATTTCTCGCGCTGCATGTAGCGAACGTTCCCAGCGCCGTTTATATCGTGGATGCGATAGAAAAACCCCCACAAACCGTCTCTTTATGTTTGTCCAATTTCATTTCATGTTTCCATTCATGACTGTATGCATGCGTGCGTCTCGGGGAGATACGATACAGAACATTATGATAATATTATTATATTCACTGCTTTTCAGTTGATATAATGCCAGCGAGCATGCACACCCGTCTAAACGCGAGTTATGTCGAGATGTTTTATTCACTTTCGAATGGCATTCGCTGGGCCTTGTAGTATTAACGATGCCTCATTGGAGACATCCGTTTGTGCATTCTGTCGTTCTGAAGTTGGAGGATTTCGTAAGCAGTTAGTTGACTTTCAATGAGACAGAACATCGTTCGTTAAGAGATGTGTATGGTGTAAACTAAATGGTGGTGTAATGTTTTCTTTATTTTGTGAATATTTGTACCTTTTAATTCAACTATACTGGTAGGTACATAAGGCACTTACTTTACCTGTTTCTCAGCCTATGGAAATCAATAAATACGTGGTGATAGTTATTCTTATTCAATTCATTTATCATTCTGTCTTGTTTCTTTTGTTTCTTTACTTTTCTTTCATCTTTCTCCAACTCGCAGATAGATTATAGACAGACAGACAGACAGACAGACAGACAGACAGACAGACAGACAGACAGACAGA